TCCACAGAGTAGTGAAAGGAATTCCTGAGGTGCCCAGGTGGGGAGCTTACCTGAAGCAGATTAATTTTGAAGTTTATGACCCACTGTGCAAGGTTCTGGGATAACTGTTTAAGGATCCTCATGGGTTTTGTTGTTTAGTCATTTCCAGTCATGTCCGACTCTTTGTGACCCCATTTGGAGTTTTCTTGGCAGATACTGTAGTGGTTTACCATTTCCTTCTTCAGCTAATTTTACATATGAGAAAACTGAGGCAAATAGGGTTAAGTAATGCCCAGGGTCACACAGCTAGTAAGTGTCTGAAGCTAGATTTGAACTCAGGAAGATGAGGCTTCTCGAATCCAGGCCCAGCACTCTATCCACAGTGTCACTTAACTCCCCATCATTACACTAGATCAAGATCAGGCTGTGATCTTTCAAAGATCACATGGGTGTGTAAGGTTAATCAATCAATCAACAAATATTAAGTACTTACTATATGCTAGTCATCTAAGGGTACAAGTAGAAAGAATCAAAGTCATGAGAAACTTACATTACGTAGAGGTTCCCAAACTTATGTGGCCTAACACCCCTTTCTTCAAAAGAAATTAACTCAGCACCCCGCTCTGGATCATTCCAACATCCCCATGGGTCAGTATCACCCACTGTGGGAACCTATGTCAGCTACACTGATGTTTTAAGTCAAAAAAATGCAGTTTAAGTTATATTGATGTTTCAAGGCCTAGGCTGTAATTTGGCAGCAGCGCTAACTTTGCTGGAATTGACTTATAGATAGATCTATTTGTTGTTTCTGTTAGACATCCTTTTTTGTTTGTTTATTTGTTTTGTTCTGTTTTGAATGTGCAAAGTCCAACTCTGATGCCTCATTTTGGCATGGGAGTAACCCTGGATTCTTGAAATATATGCCAGTAGACAAAATTGCTAGCAGGTTTTAAACCGTTGGAAGGGCTTTGATTATGGTCCTGCCAATAGACTGTGTTTACTTCCCAAGAAACAGGCTAGATAGGTAGAGAGGCTAATCACAAGTTTTGGCCAGGAAGTAAGAATTTTTTTTTTGGCCATGACAATGCACGAAACAAATAAAACTACAAGATAGCCATAGTTCATAGGCAGCTCCCTTCGCCTTCAGTAGTAATATTAGTGAGAATAGGGGGAAAGGAAATAAAGTGCTAAGAATCACGTTTTTTAGACTATTTGTAAACATTAACTAGTGGTACTCTAACATTTTTGCTCAGTAAACCACAAGTGAAGACACCATTGGAAACTGAATCATTTCACCCAATTTTCTGGCTTGACATCAGAGAATCTTAAATCTGGTTCTGCATCAAATTTATTTCTATAGTTTGATTTTAAATAAGAAAAAAATAAAAATTCTCAATCACACTAATACGGGGTGGAAAATAGTAGGAGAATTTTACATGCTTCCTTGCTCAGAGAAAGAAATTCATTTTTAAAAGAGTTTTAGCCAAAAATTTATAAAGCTGTCATTTTAGAATGATGTGTGTAGTATAAAATCCATTGATATGTCAATTAAATTTTCAAATTTGTTATCTAGTGTCAATTCACAAACCATAGATATTAAAACAATCAAATAATTTTTAATCCAATTTACTGAAATTCTGTCTCTCCCTCCTGCCCTTTCCTCCTCACCCATTGAGAAGCCAAGCAATATAATATCAATTATACATGTAAAATCATCCAAAACAAACTTCCATATTACCCATGTTGTAAAATTAAGCAAGAAAAATAAAGAAAATAAACAAATTATGCTTTAATCTTCACTCAGACTTCATAAATTCTCTCTCTGGATGTGGATAATATTTTTCATCAAAAGTCCTTTGGAGTTGTCCGGGATCATTGTATCAATCAGAAAAGCGAAGTCGTTCAAAGTTCATCATTGTACAGTGTTGCTGTTACTATGTACAATAGTCTCCTGGTACTGCTCACTTCACTTTGCATCAGTTCATGTAAGTCTTTCCAGGTTTTCCTGAAAGCATCCTGCTTGTCATTTCTTGCAGCAAAAGAGTATTCCATCAAAATCACATACCACAACTTGCAATCGATGGTCATCCTCTCCAGTTCCAATTCTTTGCTACCACAAAAAGAGCTGCTATACATATTTTTGTTTGTATAGATCCTTTTTTAATTTCCTTTGGTTTTTAAGATACAAACCTAATAGCGGTATTGCTCGGTCAAAGAGTATACACAGTTGCATAGCCTTTGGAGCATAGTTCCAAACTGCTTTCCAGAATAGTTGAATCTGTTTACAACTCTACCAACAGTGCTTTAGTGTGCCAATTTCTCCACATCCCTGCCAACATTGATCATTTTCCTCTTCTATGATGCTAGCCAATCTGATAGGTGTCAGGTGGTACCTCAGAGATGTTTTAATCTGCACGTCTGTAATAAAGTGATTTAGACATTTAGTGACTATAGATTCCTTTTATTTCTTCTTCCAAAAAAAGTTTGTTCATATCCTTTGGCCACTTGTAAATGATAATTCATTTTCCAAAAAAGAAATTGTGTAATGTAACAAAGCATTAAGTACTGTTCTCAGTTTCAAGGTTTCAAAATTTTACTTTCTTAATCTTGCTTTTTTAATGATTTACATGTTGAAGATGTTTGCATTTGGACCTATAATAATATATTATTTGTTAATTTTTGAAAAGATATCTACTGGGGCAGCGATGTGGTGCAGTGGATAGAGCACCAGCCCTGAAGTCAGGAGGACCTCAGTTCAAATCCAGACTCAGATCAAACACTTGACACTTAATAGCTGTGTGACCTTAGGCAAGTCACTTAATCCAAATTGCCTAAAAAAAAATTAAAAAAAAAGAAATCTACTAAATAATCTAATCCTTGTAGCCATGTCATATCACTTGTACATTCACTCAAATGAAAAGGATGGTCATTGAAGAAGACAAGTAACTCTTTTCTTAATTCAAATATATGAGTAATAACTCTGCCATGGGAAAGGCACCTAACTAACATCTGTGTATGAAGTGTAAACATGCTTACTGTCTGTATCGTTAAATAAAATGGTAAACAATTAGTGGGTTTTGATTTTATGAAATTATTTTGATAGTATCATGTAACATGCTTTTAAGTTGTGACATTCTCTTTAATGCTAAAACTTGTTTGTGTATTCTGCAATGTATATCTACTATATTTGTGTCAATTTTTTAGTAGGCAAGACAACACTCCCCAAATTCCCAGTCATTGTACTTGTTCCATTTGTGCAAATTCCACAAGAAGACTAATTAATTTTTTTTTCCTTCCAAGTACAAATAATCAGGTAAATTTTTTTTCCAGGTTGTGGATACTATTAACTGATAATATTAGCAGCTTATTCTCTTCCAGTTTACCATCATGAAGATATCTTATAAATATAATTTAAATTCCTATGTTGCAAACATAAGATATATCATCTAATTGAAAAGTATAAATGTTATTTTTTGGAATTTTATTGACAACAATTGATTCAATGTCACAAATGATTCAATGCCAGATGTATCACATTCAATGAGACACTGTATTGTCAGAAATGAATATCATCTCTAACTTAACAGAATCATCTCCCCATATATACTTGACATTTGTTGTGGCACACTGAAAAATTAATTTTTCTGCAATGGTGTGAGCTTCCTATTTTTTTGCAATTTAATAACTTATTAAATATGAAGCCTCAATCCCTTTTCTACTTTCTTGTTTATTCACAAAAATAAATTAATCAATATTGCATATATTCCAATCTTGTTCTTTCTATTAAAAAAAGCAACATAGCTTTCATGTTTTGATTATAAATATTGAGACAAAAGAGAACATTTTAAGCTACTGTTTATAAAAACTTCACAAATTATACATTGTAGTCATAGATATTCATTGTCTCCAAAAAGTAGAAAACTGAAATTAACATAGTCTTCACCATATTTTTTTTCTCTTACCCATTGTAATACAGGTACTTTGAATATCTTTGTATATTATTTTAGAACTATGATCTATGAGATGATTTTTGCTTATTTGCTGATCACAGTGCACTAATTCTGAATGGCTATTTTGCAATTCCTAATTTACACATTTTCCAGCATTTTCTTGTACATTTCCAATATTTAATAAATGAACCATTGGATATGCTAAAATTTAACAAAACTTTTAAAAGTATTTGTACAAAATTTCATTTTTATGTTCAATACTCAATAAATATATAACAATATTATATCAGTACAATTTATGTGAATGTATGTTCCTCAATGCAATTTTGTTTCGGAACCACACAGACGGGCATCAGGATACTTCTGCCACAGTTAAACAGTGTACATGGACTCTGGAAGATGACTTCCTAAGAAATTGATGAAATGAAAAGCTTGTATTGAAGAAGAACCTAACCATTGAGAAGGAATAGTTCCTCACCTCTAGGGTCATTAAAAAGGCTTACTCTCTCTTCTCCCTGTTTTGGCTGTGCTGTCTTAAAATGAAGCAGGAGACACTATAGCCAGTAGGAAATAAGCAGTCATTCACACCAGTTGAGGCTGGATATAGCTCTGAGCCAAGAAGAGAGGTCATCCTCAGCTGTCATTACTTTAGTTGAAAAGAGGAATAAGCCATCTGAGCAATCTTCCCAGCCGAAACCCACAGTAGAAGTCTGAGGGATGGAAAGAATATCATATCAGGGCCTGGCAGTCCTGGAGTTGCAAGTTGCACGGCCACATTTACTCCCCTCCCAGTGTAAAGATTTTGTCTTGAATATTGTACTTTATTTGTGTGCCTACTCTACTCACTGATTACATGTGTAGTTGTGGAACAGTGCGATCCATGTTTATGGGAGCAATGTTACGTTACTATCGTGCTTATTATGCCATCTCAGTAAATATATTTGCTTCTCGTGAATTTGCTACCAGCCCCTCTCAGCCCCGCCCTTTCCCATGACGAAGGAACGATTTTGGCCAATCAGGGTTGACCACACTAAATCAGTCTGCGCCTGCGCAGAAAAGCAGACCCGCCCTTCCAAGTCCTTTGTTTTTCTTTAACTTGATATACAAGAGCTGCGCAGTGGTCTGGAAGGGCCGCAAGCAGCTACCTCGGCCTTGTCATTCGTGGGACTCGGTGGCTTTCAAGCACTATGGCTTCCAGGTTAGTGGACACCTCACAGCTCGGGGCAGCTTCGCCCTGGGCACGACCACCGTAATAGTGGGGTGAGTCCATCGGGCTGGTGAGGCCATCGCTTTCCCCTAGCCCTAGGGCCATGGGAGGCCCTGCGCGGGCGTGAAGCCCGGGGAGGGGGGAAATCCCCACCCTTGGGGAACCACGTGACCTGGGGTGTTCCCCTCCTCCCTTTTTGTCTCCTGAGGGGCATAGGTGCGGCCACCTTTGTCCTTTTAAGCCTCCTCCCTTCCCAAGTGCTGGCTTAAACTCTGGGCTCCTGGGCTGTTTTCAGTGAGACCGCCCCATTGGATTTTACTTTGGTCTGACCATGTTGGGAGTGTTCCAGCCCTCCATTTTAAAAAGGGCAGTGATGAGCTCCCTATGGAAGTCAGGAAGACCCGAGTTCAAATTTGACCTAAGATAATTTACTAGTTGTGTGACCCTGAGCAAGTCACTTTTCCTTAGTTTGCTTTAGTTTCCTTAATTACAAATGCCAGTACCTATCTCTCAGGGGTATTTTAAGAATCTCAAAGTTTTTTACACAGTTCCTGGCACATAGTAAGTACTCGATGAATATTAGCTATTATTATTTCTATTATTATTATTATTATTATTAGCCAGGAGATAGGGAGAACAACCAGGATAACCAAACTTTGAGTCCCTGCCGTATAAAGAGCCATTGAAGGAGTTCTCCACTGCCTAAAGTTGGTCATGTCAGCACCTCCTCCAATCTCTACCCCTTTGGTACACTCCAGGAGCTCTTTCTTACTTCCAGCATCAAATGTAAAATCCTAGTTTTGGTTTTTGAAGCTCTTAAGAACTTTTCCCTTTCCCACCTTTCCAGTCTCATTTATTACCCTTGCTTCCACAAATCAGTCTCTTTGTGATCACTCAAAGCATGCCGTTGTTAGTAACAGAGCTCTGTATGACAAGGACATTGAAATCCCAGATATACAATTACCCTGTATTTGGTGTGGGGCAGTCACTGTTAAGTCTTTAGGCTTATTGAATCCTGCTTAATATGTAGAAATAGAGTTGAAGAGACCAGTCCAGTTTGAAATTTACCAAATGTGATGGACTTAGTTGCAGTGAGATCATTAATTTTCTGGAAAATTGAAATTGAAATTCTTTTCACAGAGGGTGGAACTATTGGAATATTTCACCACTGGTTGAGGTTTTTTTTCCCCCTTAATTATTACATGGACTCACTTAACATGGGAGGGATATTTTCAGAAATAAAAGAGCTATCAAAATAAAAGGTATTAAATAATTTTGAAATAATATATATTGTAAATTTCAAGCTTTATTCAAGTTTTTCCTTTTGGTTCACTGTTAACAACATCTAGTGTTATTACTATCAACATTAACACTTTGGTTTGGGGATACTGATGCTGACCAGGAGGTTTTGGGAAGGGACAGAGTGATAAAACTAGTATAGTGCTAGTCCAAGAAAAGAGATTATTTATACACACGTATATGTTTTATATACATAGATATAGACATACACGTGACACATATGTATGTGTATGTGTGTCTATACATGTATATATATACACATACTTATAAACATACACACGTGTATTCATATTCCTGCTTTCAAATGAATTGTTGTTACCTTGGGTTGATCCCCTAAGCATTTTCTCATTTTGAAGGTCAGAGATACTTCTGCTAACATGATGAACTGTCTGATGTGGCTTTCTCAGAATTATATGTAATTGTTTACAGTCATTTTGGCTCTGAATAAAAGTAACCTATCAAAGCTGCATTTGGTAGGTGAGTATCCCTACTAGACAAATGCTAAATTGTCACACAATATTCCAAAAAAAAAAAATTTAATGTAATTCTATGTGCTTTTAGTCAGTTAATTGGTGTATTGGATAGAGAAGTGGTCCTGGAGTTAGGGAGACCCGAGTTTAAATGTCATCTCAGACATTGCCTAGCTATGTGACCCTTGCAAGTCTCTTAACTTTTTTTTGGCCTTGGTTTCCTTAACTGTAAAATGGGAATTATTGTGGCACCTACCTTTCAAGATTTTTATAAGGGTCAAATGAGAAAATATAAAGTGTTTGGCATTATGTGCTATGTAAATGCTTTTTCTCTCCCCTTTCCATTTCCCTATGAACTATTGGAAATTTAGTTTTTGCTTTCAAATTATAAAAGAAACTGTAAGGAAAATGTTTCAAAGATATTGCTTAAAAATTTCTGTTTAGTGTTTGTGTATATATATATATGTATACGTGTGTAACATATAGTATATAATATGTAATCAATATCCTGATGATATGACATTTTTATATATTAATGGTTTTGCTAATAATATATTGATATTTATTGCACAAACATTTGTCCTAGGGTATTCCAGTCACTTTTCAGGATATTCATACTAGACAAATAAGATTGAAGAACTTGAAATGGGGACCAGTATTTAAAAAGAAGTTGCAAGGTAAGTTGTTTACATTTTTCAACCTTTATTTGGTATTTCAGTAGCATTTTCTGTCTTCATTTTTAATTTTAACTATTGGAATATGTTACATTCTCTGCATATATGATGAGTGAACTTATATCTTGAAAAACATTAGTGTGCAAATAATACATCTTGCAGTAATATAAATTTCTGAGATATGATGCATCTTTATTCCCTTGTGTACTTTTAAAAAGACTTCTCTTAATGATTTTTTTTTAAAGATATCTACTGAGGAAAGGATAAGTAATGAGACAAATGTCCCTGTCTAGAGCCTATTAAAAAAAAGACTTTCTTTGCTAGTCATCTTTATTTACCTTGTGTTTCTGTTGTTCGCAAGTATGCTTATACTTGTTTTTGTTTTTATTTTTGTTTTTGCGGGAAACACACGTTTTCTCCAAGCAGAAGTTTCAAATGTTTTTCTTTTACTGACAGTCCTTCTTTTGTCATTGATGATCTGACTCAGGTTTGCAGATTATGTCATTTTCATTTACATCTTTTACTTTTTTGAATACATTAATTCATTCCTTTATGTCATTTCTAGTAGATATAGAATATATTTAATGCTTTTCAGATGTCCCATCCCTTATATTTGAGGGTCTTTCTCCAGTCTGCTTACAGATTTTGTTATTTTTCTTCAGAATTTTAAAATTTAATATGATATAGCTTGGAGTTAGAAGCATTAAGGGTTTTTGTTTTGTGTTGTTTGGTGTTTGGTTTTCTTTATTCTCTCCTGGTATTCTGTGTGCACATCACCAGTCGTCCTGACTTTTGTCTTGCTACTGGACTCCATGACTCCAGAAGAGAGAGTGAGGCTGAAGACTTTGTGCTGCTTGTCTCACTTAAATCCAGTTCGCTCAAGATTCGAGTTATAATCCCCTGATGTCATTGGTCCTCTTCACAAAGGAAGGAGGAACCTGCTTCTGACTGTACTTTCACATCTCCTCATGAGCGGTCTTCTCAACCTAGAAGTGCCTCTATCCCTGCTGCCTTCTCCTCTGAAGGGAGTAAGGTGAAGTAAAGCTACAAAGAGGGTACCTTGTGCACACTACTTCTGGTGAGTGCCCACTGAAGTCAAGTGACTTTATTCCTATAAAAATGTTGTTTGCATATTTTAATAATAAGTTATATCATCAATTATCTTTGGTTTATCAGTGCCTACTGTTTTAACTAAGAAACTTAAGTATCTAATATAACAAAGTACTAAATACAAATTAAGTTTAAAGATTTAAGAAATATGTTAGATTTCATCATCCCACCAAAACTTTATTCATGGACCTAAATGTAGAGCAACGTGGAAACTGAAGGTAGCATCTCATATAACATTATTGGCTACTCATACACAAGATGGCAGCTGTTACACACCTTAAGTTCAACTCTATTCTATTCTTGTGAACCTTGCAAAAATCTGTATAACATGGATCACTCCCATGATAAGCCCATGCTTAGTCATTTCCTTTTATCTTCTGCAGCATGTTAAGCTGTGTATTTTTCATTTTACTTTTAGGCATGGAATCTCCATGACAAGAGGTTCTAAAATGAATTGTCTTCTCTTTTTCTGTCTACTCTGTCATAATAAATAGCTGGTCAGACCTGATTTCCCATGATATGATCTTAAGGCTTAGAAAGACCTCTTAAAGTGTTGGGTTTTAGTTAATCAGTAGAAGATAATAGCTGTACAAACAGTTCTCAAAAAAATAATATTTATAACTGCTTGTTGATTTCTTAGCTTTATTCAACCTACTTTACATTTTTGAAGCTTTGTGTATTTTGTTTTTACATTACAAACATTTTCAGATTATTGCCTAAATGAAGTAAAACAGTTAAGTAAAGCTAATAATATAGTGGCTTCATCTGAAAGTATATTCAGCATTTCATATCTATAACATCCTCTGCATGTATTTTTCAAATGAACAGATATCTGTTTTCTGCCCTACTCCCTCCCTTTTGGGAGAAGAAAAAGGAAAAAAAAGATTTTTAACAAATAAACTTAGTCAAGCAAAACAAATTCTCTTAATGGCTTTATACAAATATCTATTTATTTGTATATAGCCTGATATAGGTATACATTTGTATATCAATCTATGTCCGCAAATATAGATACCTATATAGATTTGTCTGTCTGTCTTATTCTGTATCCTAAATCCATCAACTGTCTTTAATGAAATTTTTTTCATCATTGGTCCTTTGGAATCATGAATGGCTATTGTATTGATCTTCATTATTAAAGCTTTCAAATTTGTTTTGTTTTTGTGGTGGTCTTATTGTATAAATTGCTTTGATTCTGTTATGTCATTCTTAATCAGATTATAGAAGTTCTTTAATCGTTGAATTTTTTTTTTTCTGGTTTTGTGTACTTCAGTCTGTATCAGTTCATATAATTCTTTCCATGTCTTTTTGAAATCATTTTCCTCATCTCTTACAGGAGAATAATACTCTTATTGCATTCATATACCACAACTTATTCAGCCATTTCTCAGCTGATGAACATCCCTTTGTTTCCATTTCTTTGCCATCACCAAATAAGCTGCTATTAAAAAAAATTGTACAAATTGGACTTTTTCTTCTTTCTTTCATCTCTTTAATATAGGTGAGGGAAGGGAATGGAATAAGCATTTATTAAGTGCCAGTTATGTGCTTGTACTTGTGCTAAGCACTTAACAAATATTATCTCATTTAATCCTCACAGCAACCCTTAGAAGCAGGTTCTGTTATTGTACTCATTTAAAGTTCAGTAAATTGAGGCAGATAGAAGTTAAGTGACCTGCCCAGGGTAACATAGTATTTGAGTCCAAATTTGAACTCAGGACTTCTTTACTATAAGCTTAAAAGTGGTATATGTTGGGTCAAAGGACATAGTAACCTTTTGTGTTTAATTCCAAATTGCTTTCCAAAATGGACCCATTCGCAGATCTACCAACAGAGAACAATATGGCTTTTTCCCCCACAACCCCTTCTACATTTGTGACTTCTCTTTTTTTTGTTATATTTGACAATAAAGGACTTGATGGAGAATCTCTGAATTGTTTTAATTTGCATTTCTCTTAATTAGTGATTTGGAGCATTTTTTCATTCGTCTATAGATTGTTTCTTAGCTTTGAGAATTCTGTTCATATCCTTGAACAATTATCAATTCTGTTCAGTCCTTGAAAAATTATCAAATGACTGTCTTTCTTAAAAATGTGAATAAGTTCTTTATGTATCTTGTAAATGATACCTTTTCTAGAGAAAATGCCTGCAAAATAATTTTTCCAAGTTAATTGCGTCCCCTTAATTTTAACTTTATTGGATTTATAAAATATTTAATATTATGTTATCAAAATTATCCATTTTATTTTCTGTGATTCTTTCTATTCATTGTTTCCTCATGAACTTTTCTCCACCTCATAGATCTGGATAGGTAATTTTTCCATGCTCCTCTGATTTGATTATGGGGTGACCTTTATATCTAGGTCACTTACTCATTAAGAGCTTATCTTTGTATAAATTAGGAGGTATTGGTCTAAATCTAATTTTTTTTAACTGCTTTTTTTCCCAGTTACATGTAGAAACAATCTTAACATAACATTTTTGTTTTCAAATTTCAATTCCAAATTCTTCCCTTCCTTGCCTCCCCATTAAGTGATTTGACATAGGTTAAACATGTGTACTCATGCAAAACACGTTTCCACGTAAGTCATTTTGTGAAAGAAAGCACAGACACACACACACACACAAACAAAAAAAACAAAACAAAACAAGGAAAATAAAGAAAGTAGAGAGAAGGTATCTTCTTGATCTGCATTCAGGCATACAAGTTCATTCTCTGGAGATGGACGGTACTTTTTATCCTGAGTCCTACACAGTTGGCTTAGATCATTGTATTGCTGAGAATAGCTTAGTTGTTCATAGTAGACCATCATAGAATATTGCTTTTGCTGTCTACAATGTTCTTCTGGATCTGCTCATTTCACTTTGCATCAGTGGTTCATGTAAAGTCTTTTCATGTTACTTTCAGAGCATCCTGCTCATTATTTTCAAAAAAAAAAATTAATTAACTGATTTTTAGTTCGCAACATTTGCTTTTGTAAGATTTTGAGTTCAAATTTTCCCCCCCTCTCTTGACTCCCTCATCCCCAGGGCAGCATGCAGTCTGGTATAGGCTATTAATGCGTGATCATATTAAACATATTTCCACATTAGTCATGTTGTGAAAGAAAAATCAGAGCAAAAGAGAAAAACTGTGCTTGTCATCATCTCTTAAAGCACAGTAGTAGTCCATCACAATCAGATGCGACAGTTTGTTCAGCCATTCCCCAGTTGATAGCTGTCCCCTCAATTTCTAGTTCTTTGCCACCACTAAAAGAGCTGCTGTAAATATCTTGCACACTTAAGTCCCTTTTTTTAAAAAATCTCTCTGGGATACAGACCTAGAAGTGACATTGCTTAGTCAGAGTATGTGCAGGTGTTATAGCCCTTTGTGCCTAGTTCCAAATTGCTCTCCAGAATGGTTGAATCAGTTTACAACTTCACCAACAGTACATTAGCATTTTAATTTTTCACATCCTCTCCAACTTTTATCATTTTCCTTTTCTGTCATAATTAGCCAGTCTGACAGGTGTGAAGTAGGAGATCCAGGTGGTTTTAATTTGCATCTCTCATCAGTAATGATTTAGAACGTTTTTTTAACATGACGGTAGATAGCTTTGATTACTTTATCTGAAAACTGCCTGTTCATATTCTTTGACCATTTATCAATTGAGGAATGGCTCTTATTTCTATAAATTTGACTCAGTTTTCTATATATTTGAGAAATGAAGTCTTTATGTCAGAGAAAAAAATTTGTTTTTCATAGTAATGATTACCAACTATGTATTTACCTCCATCCTATTTTCTTCCTCTTTATCCTACTGTCTTTTTCCTTTTATCCAGTCCATTCTTAAGTGTTTTGCCTCTGACTTTTACTTCCCCCAAACTGCCCTCCCTTTTGTCAGCCTACCATCTTCTTCTCTTATGGTAAGACAGATTTCAACACCCAACTGAGTGTGTATATTATTTCCTCTTTTACCCAGTTTTGATGAGAGTTAGGTTCATGTGTTCTCCTCCCTACTTCCCCCATTTTCCACTCCATTGTAAAATGTCTTTTTTTTTTTGGTCAGATAATTTATTCCCGTTCTGCCTCCTCTCCCTTTCACCTTTTTTCAATGCATTCTTTCTTATCCCTTAATTTTATTTTTTTTAGATAATCATACCATCATATTTAACTCACACCTCTGTTTCCTGTGTATGTACACTCCTAACTGCCATAATAATGAGAATGATTTTAGGAGTTATAAGTATCATTTTCTTATGCAGGAATGTAAACAGTTCAACCTTAATAAGTCTTATGATTTCTCTTTCCTGTTTACCTTTTTATACTTCTTTTGTGTCTTTTATTTCAAAGTCAGCTTTTCTATTGTCTCTGGTGTTTTCATCAGGAATGCTTGAAAGTCTGCTATCTTATTGAATGTCCATTTTTCCCCTCAAAGAATTTTACTTAGTTTTGCTGGGTAGGTGATACTTGGTTGTAATCCTAGTTCTTTTGCCTCTGGAATATCAAATTCAAAGCCCCGTATTCCTTTAATGAGAAGCTGCTAAATCTTGTGTTATCCTGACTGGCTCCACAGTATTTGAATTGTTTATTTTTGGCTGCCTGCAGTAATTTCTTCTTGATCTGGGAGGTCTGGAATTTGGCTGTAATATTCCTAGGAGTTTTCATTTTAGGAGCTCTTTCAGGAGGTGATTGGTACATTCTTTGCATTTCTGTTTTACCCTCTGGTTCTAAAATATCAGGACAGTTTTCATTGATGATTTTTTTTTAAGGCAGTTGGGGTTAAGTGACTTGCCCAAGGTCACACAGCTAGTAAGTGTCAAGTGTTTGGTCTGAGGCTGGATTTGAACTCAGGTCCTCCTGACTTCAGGGCTGGTGCTCTATCCACTGCACCATCTAGCTGCCCCCATTGATGATTTCTTGAAAGATGATATCTAGGTTCTTTTTTTTGATCATGGCTTTCAGGTAGTCCAATAATTGAAAAATTATGTCTCCTGGCTCTATTTTCCACGTCAGTTGTTTTTCCAGTGAGATATTTCACATTTTCTTCTGTTTTTTCATTCTTTCAATTTTGTTTGATTCTTTTGACGTATCATAAAGTCATTAGCTTCCCCTTGCCCAGTTCTAAATTTTAAGGAATTATTTTCTTCAGTGAGCTTTTATACCTCCTTTTCCATTTGGCCAATTTTACTTTTTAAGGAGTTTTTCCCTTCAGTGACTTTTGTACATCCTTTTCCAGTTGGCCAATTCTACTTTTTCAAGGCATTCTTCTCTGCATTGGATTTTGGTGCCTCTTTGACCATTTGGCTTATTCTGTTTTTTAAAGTGTTATTTTCTTCAGTATTTTTTTTTTTTGGTGCTTCCTTTACCAAGCTGTTAACTTTTTTCACGATGTTTTTGCATCACTTTCATTTCTCTTCCTAATTTTTCCTCTACTTCTCTTACTTCATTTTAGCTCTTCCATGGCCTGAGGTCAATTCGTATTTTTCTTTGAGGCTTTGGATGACTTTGTTGTCATCTTCTGAGTATATGTTTTGATCTTCTTTTCACTTGTCACTGTAGTAACTTTGTATTGTCATTTTTTTTCTTTAGTTTACTTATTTTCCATCCTATTTCTTGGCTTTTAACTTTATGCTAATGTGGGGCTCTACTTCCCAAGTGGAGGGGTCACTGTTCCAAACTTCAGGTTCTTTAGTGCAGCTGTTTTCAGAGGTAATTCTGGGAACCTGTAGGTTTCTGGCCCTTCTAAGGTGGTATGATCTAGGGGAGAGGTGTGTTTACTATTCTCCTGTACTATGCACTAGTTTGTGAGTGACCACAAGAACTCTTTTCAGCTCTAGAACTGTGACCAGGGTTCCTGCTCCCAGGCAGCTGCAAGCTTGCTGTTTTAGTGCTTCTCTTTGCACTGGGACTAAAACCTAGGACTGTGACCCAGATCCAGTATAGCCAATGCAACAGAGTCCTGTTCCTGGTGCTGGGAGAGGGACCCTTGCAGATCTCCTTCTTACTCATTGTTTAATGTCCTTACTGAATGTTGGCTGAGAGGCCTGCAACTGCCACTGTTACCACTGAGTTAGTCACCATGAGGTCCCCTCCTGGTTACTGCGCTGGCCTGTACTGAACTTTACTCTTCTTTCATCCTGGTACAACAGACCTTTCCTGCCGACCTTCTAAGTTCTCTTGGGCTGGAAAATTGTTTCACTCGGTCTTTTTGTGGGTTCTACCTCTCTGGAATTTGTTTAGGGTCATTTAAAGGTATTTGGAGGGATTTGGGAGAGAGCTCACGTGAATCCTTGCCTTTACTCTGCCACCTTGGCTCTGCCCTAAATTCTAATTTCTTACATACTGTCCAATTTTCCCAACAGTTTTTGTTAGGTAGTGAGTCCTTGTCAAAGTATCTGGGTCTTTGTGTTTATCAAATACTAGGGTATTAGATACCTTTACTCTTGTATGCTGTGTACCTTATCTGTTCCTCTGATGGATATATTGTTTTAGCCAGTTTGAAATTATTTTTAATAATTACTGCTTTTTGTAGTCTAGTTTGAGATCTGGCACTGCTCTTCTTTCTAATTTATTCTTGATCCTTTTTCCCTGCATATGAATCTTGTTATTTTTTTCCCAGTTTTATAATCTGTTGGTAATTTAATTGGTATGGCATTGAATAAGGAAATTAATTTATATAATACTTTCATTTTTTTCTATACTGGCTCATCCTACCCATGAACAATTAATATTTTTGCAATTGTTTAGGTCTGTCTTTATTTCTATAAGCAGTTTTTAGTAGATATGTTTATATAGTTTTTATATGTATCTTGGAAATCAGACTACCAAATAATTGTTTAAATTCTGTAGTAATTTTTCAATGGCCTTTTCTCTTTCTATTTCTTCCTGCTTGGTTCTATTATATTATATAGAAATACTGATGATTTCAAATATTCCTGATGGAGGGTAGTGGGGGTGAGGAGAAACATGGAGCTGAGTAGCAACTTTGAAATATAAATATAGAAGTCAAAAGAAAAATAAAAAAAGGTAACTAAAAATGAACAATGAAAAAGAATTTAGAAAGATGAACTGTTAATGGTTTAATCATAAGTGAAACAATTTAAGCTTGTAGAGGGGATAGTGAAGTGCCCTAAAAAAGGGCAATATCTTGAATACACTGTGAGAGAGTACAGAGGAGAAAAATATAAGAGAATAACATTGAGAAATATAAATAATTAGCCATTATACTTGTGAATGTGAATGGGATGATATTATTCATAAAAATTCAGAGTTTAGCAGAATTAGATTAGAAAGAAAAATCCAACAAATATTTACAGGAAACATACCTGAAACATGGAGGGGCCAGGGCAGACCTCAGGAGCAAATACCACAGCTCAACAGAAAACAAACAAACAAACGAACCAGAATAGCACTTATGCTTTCAGACAAGTCAGCAGGAAAAATAGACTTAATTTTAAGAAGATGAAGAGGGAAACTACTTTTGTTGACAAGTAGCAGATAATGAATTGTGTACACCCAATGACAAAACTTCTCATTAAGGAAAAATTACATGAATTACAGAGAGATAGTAAAATGTGAATAATGAGAAACCTCAATTTATTCTGTTCAGCTCTAGATAAATATAACTAAAAAATAAATAAGGAAGTTAAGGATTTGAATAGAAATTTAGAAAAAATACATGTGATAGGCTTGTCTATTACTCAATGAAAATAGAAATGAGTATTCATTTTTCACCTGTACATGGCATCTTTCCAAAAAATTAATCATGTTTTAAGATACAAAATCATCACAAATTCAGAAAAGCAGAAATATTACATACATCCTTTGCTGATGATACTGCAATAAAGGGCCTCTGAAAAATATTAACAATCAACCATAGACTAAATAACTTAATCCTAAAGAAAGTTAAGTCAAAGAATAAATCATAAAACAATACATAATTTCACTAAAGATAATGACAACAATGAGACAACATTCCAAAATTTGGGGGTTGCAGTCAAAGCAGTCCTTAGAGAATTTTTTTTTAATCTCTAAACACTTTTATTAACAAAAAAGAGAAAGAATGAATCAATGATTTGGGAATACAAGTGAAAATGCTAGGAAAAAAATACATTTAAAAACACCAATTAATCACCAAAAATAGAAATCATGAAAATTAAAGAAAAAATTAACAAGATTGAAAACAAAAACAACCATTAATTAAAAGAGGAGCTGGGTTTAAAAAAAAAAAAAGGATAAGCCACTAGCTAATTTAATTAAATGGAAGAAAAGAAAACCAAGTTACCAATATCAAAAATGAAAAAAGGAGCATTCACAGCAAATGAAGAAGGAACAAATATTATTAGAAAGTATTTTACTAAACTGCTAACAAAACCAACAACTTAAGTGAAATAAATGTTTGCAAAATATATTCAAATTAACAACAAAGATAGAAATTTAAATAACTGACTTGCAGAGGCAAAATTGAATATACCATAAATGAACTTCCAAAGAAAAAAAATTCCGTAACTATATGGAATCACAAGTGAATTCTGTCAAACAATCAAAGAACAATTAATTTCAATAATACATAAATTGTTTGGGAAAATAGCGAAAGAAGGTGTCCCTCCAAATTCCTTCTGTGACACAGGTGTGGTCTTTGTAAGTAAACTAAGGAAAATCAAAACAGACATAGAAACTTATAGACCAGTGTGCTTAATTAGCATGAATATAAATAAGGCTAAAACAACATAGTAAAGATTATAAATTCTGAGCAGGTTAGATTTATATAAGGAATGCAGGGTTGGTTTAATATTTGGAAAACTAATCAGTCATAGTAATATTTACTTTACAGTGAAGAGCCCCATGCCCATTGTACCTGTTTGGATTTAAGGTTTTAATAAAACTCTTAATAATGAAATCTTTAAGGTGCTTAAGAGCTCATCTTTTCCTAACATTATCTAGAGGAATCCTTTCTTAACAATAATACATTATATAAGTAATATTCACTTAACACTAGTGTTATTGTGTTCCTTGACCAGCTGATGGCTTTCTAGAAATTAGATTGAAATTTGCTGGAATTCAAGATCTTGGGGGCTTTAAGTTGATTATCTGGAAATAAGATCATAGGGGACAAATTAAATGCTTAATTTTTGGTGTTATTTCACTTAAATTTATTATTATGTTTTTACTTATCTTGGCAGGAGGAAATCATGCAGCTCTAATTCCATGGAGTTTCAGTTGACTTCTTACAAGCCATTTAATAATGTGTACAAACTCCCACAACCTGACTGGAATTTTAATTTCGTTCTCAACATCCCCAACATATGGATGTTGTGACTATTCGAACTCAGTGGCGATTTGTTTGCCCAAGTAGAACGTGCTTGTGCAAGAGACAGTTGGCAAGGGCAGACATTTTAGAAGAGAAGTTAGACAGGGAGAAAGAACGGTAGTGGTCAGGTGTAAGCCATCACATCGTATTCATCCTCCTTCTGTCATTTGCCTTTGGAAGGACTTGAATATCTTTCAGCACTATTTCCTTTTGAAGACACCCAGCAGAGTGTTCAAGTGCTAAAAGGACATGAATGGATCAATTCCTAGACTTGATTTCAAGTGAGGGAGAAGATTGTTAACAGAGCCAAGTCACCTTGTGGTTCCTGCATTCGTCAGCACAGTTTGTATGAGCTAAACTTCTGGGAAGTAAATTCCTTTTGCACAACTCCCAGCTAGGAGCCACTAAGAACTGAACTTGTAGGTTTTTGCTTTCAGAGTTCTGGGGAGTTTGGAATGTGGACCAAAGCAAGTTATTATCTGGGAAGTATGCAGTGGGTGCCTTGATATTAATATGTTTTGCTTTCCTTTATTATTTTGATTAAGTACTTTATAAAGTAATTGCACCAATAATGGCAATTTAGTGAGTAACACCTCAAAGGAAAGAATGTGAAATGGCTCAATAGTTGGGAGACAGTGTGAATCAAGTTGTTTTACTAATGGTGCCATAAACCTTTAGAATAATTAGAATGTAAACTCTAAAGGCAGAAATTGTTTTATTTCTGTCTTTGTATTCCTAGTGATTAATAGAGTTCCTGGCACAAAGTAAACATGCAATGCAAGCTGGTTTATATATTTGTGGATGTCAGAATCTGGCACCAGTCACCTAATTGCCATTTTAGATTAAGCCCTCATCTCATCTTCCTTAGAATAACTTAATCTTAATTTTTCCATGTTTCCAGTCTTTCCTCTTTCCAATCTGTTATCCATGTAGCTGCCAAAATAATCTCGTATGGCACAGTTCTTCTATCTGGGATGAAGGAGTTTCCACAATGTGCAACAGAAAAGGAGAGCAGCAGAAGAGAAAAGACTCATTCTAGTGTAGAATTAAACTAGATGGGGGGCTAGGGTATATTAAAAGGTGGCAGGGGGCAGCTCTGAATCACAGGGATTAAGGGGCAGAAGGTACACCTGTTATTTTAAGACTTAGGTAAATGCCAATTGAGAATCCTAGTGCTGGTTCTGATATTGGTGCTGTTACTCTCCAAACCCTGGGAAAGTTGGGGAGAGGATGATAGAGGTGGAAGGAGTTTGGACCAGGACTGAAGTCAGTAAAGAGCCTGGAGATTGTTTTCAAAGGTAGGCAAAAATCCAATTCCTTTTGAATTTTCAGCCCAAGATAAGCAGAAGTTTTTAAATACCCAGAACTTTTTCACACATGGGGCATAAACTTTGCCCTGCATTGGGCCATGGACTTTTCAAAATTCAGTATGGTATCTGAGTTTTGAGGTTCAGGTTGAGTCTACATTAGGCGTTGTCCACGCGAGGCTTAGCTATTTCAGTGTGACAGGTGTGGCTGGCACCTGCTAGAATTGGATGACATGAATAGTGGTAATGATCTATCCAGCCCTTTCTCATTCTCCTGTTTTCTTTTATAGACTACAGTGGGCTGCCATATAATTGATTTGTCAATAATTTCACCAGCTAAGGGGGTGTAGTATGCTGTGTGGCTGTAAGTGGTATTCTAGCCATTTGAGCATTCTCTTTCCCCTAATTTACCACTGTCTTCTCTCCCTATCCTGGTAACTAGAAGTCTAATACTGTGATCTAGAACAGAGATGACAAACTTTGCAGAGTGGTCTGAACCAGATTAAAATGTAATTGTGAAATATTTAACAAAATAAATGAAAATACAGTGAAACAGATAATTTTAATGTGTTTTTCTTTAATGTTGTTTTTCTGCATGTGGGGATCTTTTTGTATGGGTTTGTGGCTCCTATTTCCATTTGAGTTAGACACCACTAATATAGAATATGCCCCAAAATTACTTAAAAGGAAAAAAAAATCTCATAAAGCTCATTTATCTCCAGGTTTTTGCTCACTTCCAAAATAGACTTCAGCTATTTACTCTTAATCACTATGTGATCTATTAAGACAATCAAATAGCATAGAAACACCAAGCTATAAAGCAAAATGCTTTCAAATAGTGAGATTCAGGAACATACTTAGAAAGACAATGTGAGAAGTCCCAGCCTAGCACAAGTCTCCCAATAACTACTTGGCAAAGATTTAAAAGAGCACCCAATGAAAGGATTGATAAGACTTGAGAGAAATTAATATATTCATATTAATGAGTAATTATTCATTTGTATTCTACCTTTTCTTCCTATTTATTTTTCTTAAAACCTAGCTCCTGAAAAGGTCAGTCTCAGAAGAGCATGAGTGAGTGATGAGATTGCTCTTTGCTTCCAAGGCACATGCTCCTTTAGTTTGGGCAGAACCCAGCCACACTGAGAGACCAAATTTCTGTTTAAAGTATAAACAGAATCCAGTTTGGAGGAGCCTTTGCCTGGAGGAGGAACCCACAGTCTAGATACCCCCAGTAGAGTTGGGCAACAAAGATCATGAAGGAGAAAATTAGCCAGAGAGATCAGGTTGGAAATGGCTTCCCCTTGATGCTTTGAGGCTGCTGCGTCCTGTGATTAAGCCAAGTTCTCAGCAGGAGGAGCTGAATTCTTTTAGCCCACTTCCTCATTAAATGTCCACTAATCAGGGTTGAGTTTCACTTGTCTGGGGAGTTCCCTTTCAGAAGGTATTTAAGGTGATTCAGAGAGCCTTCCTTTGCATCTTTGCTTACCGGAAACATTGACCCTCAGGTTATTGATTCCAGGCTAGCCTAATTAATTTATTGATTATTCATTACCCATAAACTCTATCTCTCGGGGTTTTTATTCATCAAAGCCCAATGAAATACCAGGAAACTCCTTCCTCCAGGCTAGAACTGAAACAAGAAAATGGCCAGAAGCCCACACATTGTATAGATGCTCACAGTAAGAATATGTTAATGAGCCCAGACTGATGTTTAGTAGGTGGGGACTGAAGTCAATGGGATCTCTTCTATTGCCTGTCTGAATCACTGTAAGGAACAAATAAGTGAATTGTACACATACAACTAAAATACTAAAATGTCTACCAAAAAAACCACACAAATAGGAATTCTGAAAAAGGAAAGGGAAAATCTTCAACAACTATTATAAATAAAACTATAGACTTTAACAATAATAAGTAGCATTACATAGCACTTTAAAGTATTTTCTTGTGTGATCCTTTCAACCCTGAGAGGCAGGTGCTATGAATATTCCTACAAGAGACTTACACAGAAGAATATCTGAGACTGATTTTGAACTAAGGTCTTTATTATTCCAATTCCAGTGCTTTGTCTGCTACATCTCCTAGTTGCCCCTGTGACTGTTTCAAATTTATACCAATGTAGCTGGTAGAGGCAGCTAAGTGTTACATTACATAGTGCCAGACACGGAGTCAGGAAAACCTGAGTTCGAATCTTATCTCAGGCACTAGCTGTGTGGCTTAAGGCAAGTCATTTAATGTTTTTGTGTCTCAGTTTCTTCATCTATAAGATGGAGATAACAGTAATACCTACCTTCTAGGAGGGTTGTGAGATTCAAATGAGAACATGTATATCAATTTACAGACCTAAAAGTCCTATGAAAACGCAAGCTAGCTACACTAGTAATACAAGATTGGTTCACTATTAGAAATATTTTAAAGACAATAAATTACATTAATAATGAGAACAAATAAAATTGTATTAATAGGTGCAGGAAAAAAAGTTTTTTGACAAAATACATCCATTTATATTAAAAATCATTTAAAAAAATTATAGGGATAAATGGGCCTTTACTTAATATGTTAAACAGTAGCTAACTGAAACCAAGAGCCAGCATTATTTATAATGGAGAAGCACCAGAGGCTTTTCCAGTAAGATCAGGGATAAAGCAAGTCTATCAGTTGTTAACACTTCTATTGGATATAGTCTAGAAATGCTAGCTATCACGGTAAAACGAGATAAGTCGAGAGAATAAGTACAGGCAAAGGAGAAACAATTATTAATTTTTGCCAATTTAGGGTTTACTGAACCCTAAAATTTAAAACAAATTGAAATGATGATAATATAGCAGGATAGAAAATAGCCCACAAAACCCTCAACCTTTTTGTGTTACAAACAGAACCCAGCATAAAAATAGAAAAAGAAATTGCTTTCAAAATAAATGCTGAATGTGTACAAGTCTATCTGTCGTCACAGAAATTATATAGATGACATTATAAAAGCTTTACAGATAAAAGAAGACTTGAATGATTTAATGCAAATTAATTGCTTATTGGGCATTTGAATATAATAGAAATAACAATACTACCCACATTAATATATAGGTATAGTGGCATAAAAATCAAAGATTGCTTTTTAGTGATACATACATCTTAAATCATTTTAAAAACAAGATCAAGAATCAGAAGGGAAATTAACAACAACAACAAAAAAAGTAGGAAGGAAGTCTAGCAGTACCAGATCTGCACAAAGCAGTAATCATCAAAATTATTTGGTGCTGTTAAAAATTGAAAAATTGTCCAATGGGGCAGATTAGCCAGTCAAAACCCACAGCCAAACACACACACACACACACACACACACACACACACACACACACACACACACACACACACACACACACATAAAGTATATGTGTGTATACATGTGTATATGCATATATGTATATATACATATACATGCACATATGCATATACATACATAAACACACACACATACACACACACACACAAAATAGTGTATAATAGTATAGTGTTTGGTAAACCCAAAGATAACAACTGTTGGGATGAGAAATCCTTACTCAATAAAAACTGCTGAAAAAAATCAGATTATATGGCAGAACCACTAGCACCACATACAACAATAAACTACAAAACAACATATGTTTTTAATATAAAAGCGATACTGTCCTTGCTGTCACACTCTGTTTCTCAGTTCTGTGGTTTTTGTTAACGGTCCTTCATGCCCGGAATTATACTTCAGGGGCTCTACTATTACCTAATTGCAGTAGCTTTCTAATTGGTCTCCCTGCCTTCTCTCCCCCCTCTCCAATCCATGCTCTAATAAGCTGCCAAAGTGATTTTTTCCAAAACACAGATCTGACCATGTCACATCCTTTCCTTCCCCTCCCCACTTCTGCTCTCACTCAATATACTTTATTTGTTGCTCTTACCTCTAGGATCAAATATAAACGGTTTGATATTTAAAATCTTGTATTTTCTCATCCTTTTCTACCTTTCCACTCTTTTTACACTGTAGTCCACTTCATGTCCTCTACATCTGTGCTAGGCCAGACTCTCCTAATTCCCTGCTGTTTGACCACGGTGTCTCATGTTCTCTCTCCTCACCTTCACCTTTTGGTTTCTCTGGCCTCGCTCAAGGCCCAGTTAATATCCCACATTCTGCAAGAAGCCTTACCTGCTTTGCTCTCCTTCCCTTCTCTACTGTCACCACCTCACTGCTAGTGTGTTCCCTCTGAGATTACCTTATATTTGCACTATATGCATTTTGTATGGATGTTTTACATGTTTTCTCTTCTGTTCAAATGTGAGGTGCTTTGTTTTGTTTTGTATCCCCAGAGGCATATGTTGATTTGCCTGACTCCACAATTTCAGGGTAAAGCTTTTTTGTTTATGTTTTTACTCAGTTATGTATATTATTTATTAGTGTTTTCTTGTTCCACAATACTGTAAAGGTTTAATTTCAAATATTGACAAAAAATATTTGCTACAGCTTCATTAATTAATCACTGATATATGTCAAAATAATTCAGATAGTAAAGAAAATGAATATAAACTTCTAGGTAAATATTAGCATAAAATATCATTCAGCTTTTAACCTTGTTGATTTCTGCTTTCTAATCCTCTCAGAATAATATGTCTGACCCTGTTGGCCTTTTCATCGACTTAAAATAGCAATAACAACTCACATTTATATACAACAGTACTTTAAGGTTTATAAATGGCACTTTGATCATAGCAACCATGTGAAGTAGGTAGTACAAGTATTATTATGCGCATTTTACCAATGAGGAATTCAGGCTCAGAGAGAGCAGAGACACTGTTTGCAAATCATGGTTCTTCTATGCCATCATGACCTTAGTAGAGCCATTTGGCCTCCCTGGGCCAAATCCTTCATATAAAAATTGAAGATATTAACTCATAGCTTTCCAAGGTCCTTCATAGTTCAGTATCAGGTGGATTGTATGGTCATACAGCTAATAAGCCAAAGTTTGAATTCCAGTCTGTTCCTTTTGATTCTACATTCCACTATACCATAGTGCCCCTCAAGGTGATTAAGTTTATTCATAGTTGCCAAGGTCAGTTTCCTGGGGAGAGAGTTCTCTGAAACCTCAATCTAATTAATTGCCAAATTAATAGACATATATGAGCCACCAGCTCTAGAAGCTCCAGTTGCCTCTAGCGTGAAATTCAAACTCTTTTGAGTCTGGTGGCTTAAGCCTTTCCCTATGTGACCCTAGTCTATCTATCAAGGTTTCTTGCACCTTACTATGCCTAGAGCACTCTATATTCTCAGCATGAAAATCTAGCCTTCATTTGTCCCCTTTGTACCTTTACCTACTCTGATTGGTTTGTTGTCTCCAAGATGATTGGTGACTGAGAGGAAAAAGATTTATATTTTTCCCAATACATGTAAAAAGTTTTAACAATTGAGTTTTTTTAAAGTTTTGATTTCCAAATTCTATCATTCTCTCCTTCTCCTCTCTCCTTCCTGAGACGGTAAGCAATCTAACATAGTTACACATGTGCAAGCATGTAAAATGTAGT